GGTTTAGTTTCTTTAGTGACAATTCCTTAATTCATGCAGTATGCATAAGACATGAGATGACATGAAGAACTGAAAAATTGTGCTTACGGGGATAGTCTTTGGGGTGAATCTTCTCTGACCAGTTCCCATAGAAGGTGACTCTGTACTTTGCCGTTCCACAGGCACAACAGTCAAGCAATGGTTTATCAGTAGTATCTCCATACAGGGATTCTGTACAGAAGTGATGGGAGAAAAAAAAAAAGATCACACAGAGTAAGATTACTGATTAAAATAAGGAGCAGAAGAGATGGGTGCCTGTCATATAAGAGAGTGATGGTTAAGAAAGCGGTGAGCCAAAAGGAAGAACAGGGAGAAAAGGTGTACAGCACTGTTCTTTTGATTCGCCACTCAGTGTGGCATCCATTGCCATGCAACCCCCGGGGCGTCGTACTCACAATCATTCGCATCAGTGCATGACAAAGTGAAATGTAAAAATTGCGAACGAAAAAATTGAGTAAAAGGATAGAAAAAAATAAAAGGTTGTCAATGGGGAGCAAAAATAAAGCATCATTTTGATAGTAATACTTTTTATCCAAAGCGTTATAAGGTACCTACCTTTCTCACACAGTTTCTTGGTGAGTAAGCCTTCATCCTGGAAATAGATTATCCTTTTCTGCACAATGCTAGCCCTAAATAGATTAACAAGAAAAGAGGGGAACTGTGAGAAGCAAAGTTTGTTGAGGGGAACACAACGTGCAAGTGTAAAGTGAGGAAAAAGTAAGAGTGCAAATTACAAAAAGAAAATACCAAGACAGGAAAAAATGAGGAAATGTTATTTATTTATGTATTTTTTAATAACAATACTAGTCTGAGCTGTTTGTCATGGCAGAGCAAATAGCTGTAGAGTTATTCATAGACCTATTTCTCTGTTTTTCAGTATCTTCCTGAAAGCAGATATTAGAACTCAGGAAATTAAAAGAATGTTTTTCAAGTTATTTAATGCATTAAACTACAATAAACCAAAAAGTGTGCCTCATTAATAAAGGTTAAAGTTCGACAAAAGTTCCTAAGGTAGTTCACCAAAATGCCTGGTACAGTACAGCTGGCTATGCACTATGTCAATAAAGAATGAATGACAGGCCAAAAGTAATGCCCACCAAATGTGAGGTCTGCAATGGGGAGGTTTTTCTAGATTGAGCTGTTTCAGAGGCTTATTTCATTCAGTAGTGAAGAAGCATATGTCTATGTGGGGCCTTGACATGTAAATTTGCCACAAAGAGACCTTTTCAGATGCCAACAGACTTGAGAAGCAACAACAGAAAACAAGCCAACGGGGACCTAACTTCCTCACAAACACCAGCCATTTACACCAGCCATGGTTGCAGGAAGGTTTCCACGGGGATAAACCCCAACAATGAGATACTGGATGCAAGTCCAGGGGTAACATCTGATCCAGGTGGGCCCCTTCCAGCTGGACAGTTTGGATGCTATGCTACGCTGAGCAGCAGCATCCTCTATTGAGCTGAGCTAATCCCAAAAACAACAGGAAATGTGCATTAGCCTACAGGGTGTGAAATCTTATATATTTATTGTGTTTTTACACAGAGCTGCACATCTCACTGCTGATATGTCCACATGCACCTCTCACATAAATTTAAAAAAAAAGCATGAATGACCACTTCAATGGCAAATGCAAAGTCTATATCAGTGGATAACAGCAATATACAATAAATTCCAAAGTCCATATTTATATTGTTAAATAGCCAAATATTAGTTTTCTACAAAACTGGAGAAACAAAGAGATGATCACTGTGAATATCCATTTATAACCAAGATGTTCAATGCAGGTAATCCTGCAGATTAGGTGGAAGATCAAGAATTTGATAAATGCTGGGACTTTAACACATCCAGTTATCTCTGTGTGTACAATAATGACATTCTGTAAGTGACTGAGAATACTGTATAGTTTGAAGGATAAGACCGTTTGCAAGTAACAAAAAATACCTTTCCACCAATTCCACCCATTTTAACTACCTGCCAAAAAAAACCAAACAAACAAAAAATCCACTTCAGTGTCTGGAAGGCTTACAGCTGTTATTGATTAAAAAAAGTGTATCTGCTCCTTAATGTTAACAAAACATGGTGAATTTTGGGATCTTCCCCCCCCCCCCATTTAGCTTTTCAACATATTATGAACAGTGCCACTGAGTAGATCCAGTCTTTTATTTCAAGAGTTGGTGAGCCATAGAAGCCTGACTGTAGTTGAAATACTTTTAAATTAAGGCTTCCAACAGGCTACCATTCTCCACCACGTGAAATGTCAATTAGGCAGAAAATTCTCATTTTTGACATCACGCAATTAGATGATTCCACATGCTGTATGCCATCTACGGTAATCTCGCTGACATAAAGCCTATTGTGGCAGGGTGTGGTTTGTGGCTCAGCTGCACAGGAGGGGTGAAGCAGTGGGTTCAGGGTGTGGTGTGAGGGTAGGCTGACCCCCACAGCTGTTCTTCATTACCTGGTTATGCCTTTCCTAAGTAGATTGCCAGGACCTGAATGGAGCTGTGTGGTGTGTGAAGCCGGAGAAGGCAGCTGAAAAGCTGCAGCAAAGTGTGTCAGGATCAGTTAGACATAAAACACCTGACAACGTGTAAGGCTGTGTGTGTGGGTCCTTTATTTCTGTCACAGTGGTGCTGAAACCTGAGCCGTGGCACGGCAGAACCACGACCAGCCCTGCCAGTTGAGTCGCTAGCCTGGATAGTGGCCCAGCGGAAGCCACAGCTGCAGGAACAGTCTGAGCGCCGGACAAGGTGTTCGACAGTGAAGTCAAGTAACTCTGGTCCTTGTGGACACTGCCGCTGCTCGTAACGGTGCCCCTCTACAGAATGGGGGGGGAGACGTTATATGGGATATAATAAACCTCTGGAGTGTAAATGGGTAGATTTAGTCGCCTGTTCGTCCTGGTGGACATCCTGCCCGGAGTGTCAGCTGGTTAACCAGCCGGGCATTCTGCCTCGGCGCCTGCAACCTTTAATTGAGGCCCCAATTATAGCACATTGGCATGGACCTCATTGGCACATTTCTCCCGAGTGCACGTGGATATCGCTTTGCATTAGTCCTGTTGGACTTTGCAATGCAGTATCCTAAAGCAGTGCCTCTGTGCACCATTTCTGCAAAGACTGTGGTGCAGGCTCTGTTTCAGGTCATCTCTCAAGTCTGCATCCCAAAAGAGATACTGACTGACGAGGGCACATCGTTTATGCATGCTGAAATAACTGTATGAATTACTGGGTATTAAATCTGTTCTGACCCACATCTACCACCTTCAGACTGACAATTTGGTGGAGTGGCTGAATAAGACTTATCCATGATTCATAAGTTCATTCACAAGGATGAACGCAATTGGGATCGCTGGTTAGACACTCTGTTGTTTGCAGTGTGTGTGAGGTGCCTCAGACCTTCTCTCCCTTTGAGATACTGTTCAGCAGGAAGCCACGGGTGGTGTTGGACCTAAAGAAAGAAAACTGGGAGGAAGGTCCCAGTGTGGAAGGCCCGACCATACTCATAGACTCATAGAGCACCATTTTGAAATGTGGGGGTGAAGCGCCCCGGAGCCTCCTCCTTGGAGTCGGTGTTTGTGGCTGCCCAGCTGCCTCCCTCGGCCACGCAGAGAGGAACTCCTCGGCCAGGGCTAGGCTAGGCCGGATGGGTCCCAAGCCTAAGTTGGGTAGTGGGGTGTGGTTTGTGGCTCAGCTGCAGGGGAGGGGTGGAGCAGTTGGTTCAGGGTGTGGTGTCAGGAGAGGATGACCCATATAGCTGTTCTTCATCACCTGGTCATGCCTTCCCTATTTCAGTAGGTTACAGGGACCTGACTGGAGTTGTGCGATGTGAGAAGCCAGAGAAGGCAGCTGGAAAGCTGCGCAAGCAAAGCATGTCAGGAACAGTTGGAACTAAAACACCTGTCAATGTGTAAGGCTGTGTGCGTGGGTCCTTTATTCCTGTCACACCCACACTTCTGCCTGCCACTGTGTACAATATGCAACTGACATTACTGTATGCTTCTATCATCTAAATGCCAAATGTTTCGATATTATACAGTAATTACATTATTGCAAGTTTTACAGTAAGCTACTTACACTTGTATAAATGAAAACAGTTTAGATCCACTATATCAAAATCACAGCCGCCATTGTTTTCTTTGATGGAGCAAAATGGAGCAAAATTCATTCCTCTGCAGTTTGGGGAAATTGGTGTCTTGGAGAGTGAGAGGATGCCTGAAAAACTGAAAGGACTTTGCTTGTTTTCAAGAACAAGGGTGATGTGTGGAGCTATTTTAACTACAGAGGAATAAAGCTGATGAGCCATACCATGAAGATACGGGAAAGAGTTATTGAAGCATGATTAAAAAGAGAGGTGATGATCAGTGAGCAGAAGTATGGGTTTATGTCAAAAAAGAGCAGAGTGTTGATGGAGAAGAACAGAGAACGTAAGAAAGACCTACATGGTGCTTTTGTGGATCTAGAGAAAGCATATAATAGGGTGTCAAGAGAGGAATTCTATATAGTACTGAATGAGGAAGTCAGGATCAGCAAGCAAGTATACAAGGGTGGTGCCAGACATATATGAAAACAGCAAGGTAGGAGTGGTTGGAGCGTCAGATAAATTAAAGATGGGGATAGATTACATCAGGGATCTGCTCTAGGCCCCTTCTTGTTTGCAGTGGTAATGGACAAGCTGACAGGTGAGGTCAAGCAGCAATGAACTATGGTATTCTCAGATGACACTGTGATCTATAGTTAGAGTAAAGAGCAGGAGGCATCTAGAGCGCCTGGAGTTGGGTACATGTTCTGGAAAGAAGTGGGATGAAAGTCAGTAGATGCAAGACAGAATTTGTGTGAATGAGAGTGAGAAAGGTATAACCACGAAGCTGCAAGGAGTAGAGGTACTGAAGGTAGATAGGATCAACCATCCTAAGCAACAGACAGTGGCTAAGAGATGTGAACTAAAGCATTGCAGGCAGGGTGGAGTAGGTGGGAATGAGTATCAGGGGTAATCTGTGACCAAAGGATAGCAGCAAGAGTGAAAGTGAAGATTTACGTGATTATACTGACACCTGCGATGATGTGATGATGTTTGGAGATGGTGGTAGTAACAGAAAGCCATGAAGCAGAACTGGAGGTGGCAGGGAAATAAGAAATCGAAATCAGAGGAACAGCTAAGGTTGAAATGTTTGGAGAAAAGGTTAGAGGCAAGGCTGAGATGGTTTGGTAGAGATATGTGTAAGGATAGTGAATATACTGGCAAAGGTTGTTGAAGATGAAGCTTCTAGGCAGAAGAAAAAAAGGAAGACCAAAGAAAATATCCATGGATGTAGTGAAAGAGGACATGAAGTGTGTTTGTGTGACAGAAGGGATAGGGGGAGATGGAGGCAGGCAACCAGCTGTGGCAACCCCTAAAGGAAGCAGCCAAAAGAATAAGAAGAAGCTTCATATTGTTATCATGCTGGGATATTCCTCTTTTGCCAGGCTTCTAGGGGCTGGGAGGCATCTTGTCAGCCAGTGTTTTGTTATTTCCACAGACATGCATTGTGCTCTCTATAAATGTTGTGTCCTCAACACTCTTGCATCCACAAACCCACACTGGCTTAGCGCTTTCATCCAGCCATCAGGGCTATGCATTCACAGTAGTAATCCTGACCAAATTCCACCAATCTTTCAGTGCTGTGCTGAAGAGAACAAGAGAAGAGAAAAAGGATTTTTTTTCTTGGACATAATCCACAGGGGCTGACTGGATGCAGTCTCCTTCACATTGTCCAGGTTGTCACAGAAACCTAAATTTCCGCTGATTACCTTTTTACTAACTCTGAAGCACGTCTTTGAGGACATCCTGCAACTTCAAATAATGTTACAGTGGTTCAATCTATATCTCCAGATTATTGCTGGAAATGTTTTCCAAAACCTTTATTTAGTTAGCCATCGATCTTTCCCCCTGTCCTTTCTCGTTTCCAGTAGTTAGGTTCATTAGAAATCATGTCTGTGATTCTGTTCCGATGATCAAAGGTCTTCTAGCTTGCGTCAGCGATCACAGGTCCCTTAACTCTTGTTGCACTGAGTTTGTACTTTCTTTTTTTATTTCTAATCAAAATATTCTGTTTGCTAACTTAAAAATTTGGCAAATACTGAGAAGTTAGACCATTTGGGAACCTCTGACAATAAGATCATATTACACATGAGAGTACTCACTTCCCTCACATCCCTGCTTGATGTAAGATTAAAATGGTATTTGAAAGAAGGTATGATTTTACTGCCAAAATAGCCTCTCATATAACACAGATGAACTGATTCAAGGTAAGTGACACCACCAGCACTTCTCTAATTGTTCACACTTTAATTCAATCTCACCCCAATTCCACATATCTCCAAGAGACAGACGAGCAAACTCTGCCTCACTGCTCACCCACTTTCCTGGACTGGCTAGACAATCAGGCCGAGTAATGCTTATTTAACATCCAATTTAAATTCTATCTTACTTTGCTGGATCCACACCACCGCCGATCCCAATCACCACAAAAGTGCACTGATTTGAATGTGTGTGTGTACGAGTGTCTGTCTCTGGGTAGTGTAAGTCTGAGAGATTAACAAAAAGAAAAAGGAAAGACAGTGAAGAAGAGAGAAGCAAAGGTTAAAAAAAAAGGGGGGGGGGGGCAGCAGAGACTACTGTTTTAGGGCTACAACCAGCTCCTGCTACAACAAAAAGATGAAATTAATGAAGATCCATATTCTCAGTTGCAAGAAGAACTCACAAGATGCCTAAACATAAATCCACTCCAAGACAAATGTATTTACATTTAATTTCTGTAGGACTGCTTCCAGTGTTCTCAAAGCATCCTTTATCTGTTGCGTCATCTAACTGATGGAGCTAAACACACTCTGACAGCTGCATGTGGTTGTGACATTCACCAGATCACTGATATACTCAGACAGCTCATCAAAACATACCACACTACTATCCATATAGCATGCCAGAGGGAAATTACAAATAAAACGTCTCGCACCAACAAATGGAAAGAGACAAGATAGTAGCAAATTCAGTGGTGACAGCAACATATGGAGTGAATTTAGTTATAGCTTCCGTGGAACCCAATCAGGTTGTGTGGAACTACAGTCTGATAATACCACTGTGACTATAGTACTTTGTGTCACTAGATACTTATGGGTATGGGTTTTTACAGTTTTCTATTTATCGAGCCCTTTGTGGTCTCTTATGTTCTATTTCCAATCAAGGAATAATAATACACCAAAGTAATAATAGAGGACTGAGAAGAAAATCAACTCTTTCTCAGATTCTGACATTTTTTTAAACCTTTTTGGTGTCTAACTAGGTTTGAATTACGATGGCTAGTAGCAATTATTCCCTTAAGCTCAAGGGAATAAAAAAAAAAAAACGTATTAAATGATTATTTCTCTCTTGAACACTGTAACACGTATATAGCAGCTTCTTATTTTAAGCAGCCACTTTCATTAATAACAGTCATTATATTTGCTAATAGGCTCATAGCACTCTGCAAGGCCTATATATCTTTGCATCGCTTCTGTATACTATCGTTTTTAGTTAAACAAGAGTGAGACACCAACAGAAACCCAGCAAAGGAAAGTTTGGTTTTGATTTGAGCTTATGAGAAGGCTAAAAATAAATGGTAAGATTTTTAAAATGAATGCTCTGAGTTCAGGAGGTAAATGAGCATCCTTGCCTAACCCTATCATCACGGATCAACCTTTGAGAAACCCAAACCACCAAGCTCAGACTTTCCATCTAAAAGACAGCAACTGACCATCAATTATACTGTAGCAAACCACTCACGAGGAGCAGGATTTCCTGGTACATGTGAGTCCGTTTCTATGAGACAGACTTGTGCACACACTTGTAGGTTCATGACCAGATGTTTTTTATTTGTCTGCTTGTTTGTTTGTTTTTTTAAAGATGACTTTTTACCAACAGCATTATTGAAAGGCAGCTACCTTCCCTGATATGGAGAAAATGAAAAACAAATATTTACCCTATACCTGCATTGGTAATGAAACTTGTCTACTCTAAGCTAATCTAAGATAGGAAGGTATCTCACATTGTTATGTTGTTTTCTGCTGTTCAGTGATTATGCCGTATGTGCCTGTTTATGCACAAACGTTTTACTGGAAGTTGTGCGATATAATAACCACCAGTGAACAGCAATGTATCTCCCTCTAAGAGGTTTTTGTGCAGGGACTTTCACATCAAATTTTTACAGAGTTTCACTTTTTATATCAATAACACTGTACTAGGACAGTCGCTGCATTCGAGCAGAGTGGCATATGCAAAAACCTTGTCATCATTACTGCAGTCAGGGTGAAGAGCAGAGACAAATACCCACTGCCAGCCTGTAATTATGATTTTCACAGACATGTGTTCTGAACAGTAAGCTTCTTACTCTCTCCTTTCCGCATTGTCTATGTGCTGATAGTGCAGCGACATCTCTGCACTTTTAAGTATCTCTTTCAAGGCTGTGCACTCTGTCACACTTTAAACTGTTTCCTTTATCTATTAAGTACCAAATACAATTCAACCATTATCTCCCTTGTAAATAAACAATGATAGATGTAGATCACACACCAGAGAAAGAACATACAAACTGTTAAATAATGCATTTATCAGAAGCCTTCGTGAACCGCACAGACCCTCAGTGCCTTTCCACTTCATGCGCTCTCATTATTTCCCCGCAGTGAAGTACAGGATTAATAAATGGATTTCTGTCATGATGTGTCCTCAGCTTAACATGACTAGTCTTCTGTGTTCAAGTAAGCCCAGAGCACTTACAACAGCAAGAAATGAGTGGTGCATATCAGGTATAAAACTACTGAAGGTAATATTTAGTTTATCAAGCCAAATGAAAGGATTTAGTTAAAAAATTAAACTAAAGTCATTGCACTAAATCAATCTCTTTTAAAAATCCTAGTTCTAAATAATCTATCTAAAATCGAAAAGCTACTTACTTGAGACTTGAGGCTACATTTCACTTAGTATACTTGTATAAATATTAATTCATTAGATGTGGACTTGAAATTAAGAGAGAGCAAGAGTGTTGGTAAAAAATATCTTATTTAAATATCTGAAGATATTTATAAAGCTATATTAAATCAGGCAAAGCACAGTAAGTACAGACAGTTACAGAGTGTCAGATTTGGATTCTGTTTGCGATGGTTGCGGTGTTGTGGGGGTGTGAGTGTAAGTGTGTACACACAGGAGAGAAAGCACACACTGTGCTGTTTATAAAGGTGCTGCTCTGCATTTTTTTTAATTATTGCAAAGTTCCTTGTGACAATACAATAACGAAGCATTATGTCTGCCTGCCTCAACGGTGAGTTTCTTGTTCCGGGTACATATTTAAACTGTAGTTGGGACCAATTCTGCTTTGCAGCCTAAACGTGATCAGCCTAGCTTCAGCTTACATGAATCAGTTTCACATGAGTAATACATCTGGAGGATAACCTGCAATTACCCGTATTTTTGACAGAAGGCTGGATATGTAGACTAAATTTGACTATTGTTTTCATTGTTTGAGCTGAGGGCTTGACTCTGCTAAGCAGGCTGACCAGCCGTTGCTGTATACATACTTGAGAAAAACACAACCGGAGCCACTAGGGGGTGCAGTCCAAAACACCTGGATACTGGTCCTTCTGCGAGGAGTGCTCTCTGTCACTGCAGGGGGGCAGTTGGTCATAAACTGTGTTTCCTCTTCATCAATTATCTGTAAAGCATCGACACGCAAACACACAAAGAGATCAGTAATGAGTATAAATGCATCAGACAAGAACTGGAAACACTTGCAGGTAATTTTCTTCTCTTGATGCTGGATCGCACAGATACATTTTGTCGTATCATGATCTCACAAACATAATTAACAGCTGAACTGAAATTAAACACACATTTTTTGTAAACATCAGTCAATTCAGTGAATCGTGTTAGTCTTACACCATCAGTTATCTGGTCTTTAAACACGCTTTAGTTATTAGAGAACAAATTTCCAGCTTTAATAGTTACTGTAATGAGTTTAACAGCATGTTGGCTGAGTGGTTACTGTTGTTGAGGGTCCGTGGTTTAAACCTGTGCTAGATGTTGGCCCAAGACTCTCTTAAAAATAGTTTTTTAATCTTGGGGACTGCATTTTTAGATAGATACATAGATAGCCTTTGTGGGTTCCATGATAGCGTCAAAACACAAAAAAGGAGCAAAACCTTCTTCCACAGAGAAGATATTAAAAGATATTTAAGGAAAAGCTACAGATATCATGGAAAAATGCTCTAAGGCTGACGTGTTTGGATTAAAGAGAAAAGGAACACTTAAAAAACATAGACATGCTCAAAGCTATCTCCCAAGGGTGGTAATGTGGGAGCTTAACGGCTTGATATACATGTCTGATGTGCCTAAACAATTTTTGTTCTCTTACAACAGGACAAATCGTGGCTACAAACTATGCAAGAGCTATTTATAGAAGATGTTGTGAGCAGGTGCTGTTTATAATAAAGTGGCATCAGGATGCCAAACCTACCGACTGTGCTGCATATTTATATATTTTCTGGTAAACAGAAGCAGTAGAACAATCTATTTTACTGAGCGGAGAGATGCTTGTGACAGTTGAAACGAATCAGCAGTTTTGGTTAAAGTAATAAGCTATTGAAGGCTCCACCACCGGGGGGGCTTCTCCTCCCTGAATAGAGGGGGGTCACTATCTATCATGTCAGCCAAGCTCATGTTGGCTCGCCTGGCTGTACGACTAGCAGGCAAATGTTGGCCACTGCAAGTCTCAACCTTGATTCTAGAATTTTTTCTGGCATCAAAGCACAGTGTGAACATCCCTGTGGGTAAGCCAACCGAGCTCATAAAAGCTATGCACACCAGGTGAGGTTTCTTGGCCGAAGCAGAGGCACTGCATGACGTGGGGCACAGGCGGGATGCAGTCACTTTAGCTTTCGCTTCTGATGTCTTCAGGTCATTTAAAAAAAGTCCCCAGACTTGAATTAGGCTGAAGAGTCCAAATCCGTGCTCCCCTCTTTACTCAGCTCCACACCTGAGATATTAAGCACCTGAATGATTTTAACTGTGGGACAGAAAATTAGTTGAGTTGGCTGCATGAGAGAGCACAACCGCTGAGACCAAGGATCTGTTTGATAGGAAGTGACATCCGGGCAGTAAAGGCAGGGAACTTTCTCACTCCATAAAGCTGTCAGCAGAGAATTTCCTTTGTCATGCCACGTTATGAATGAGTTCCCTTTGAAATTGTGTGTGAGAGAGTGTGTTAAGAGTTAGACGGAGAGTCAGAAGGGGAGTCCGGGAGCTTTGTGTGTGTGCATGCCATCCATGTGTATGCAGCCGATCGTGATCTGAAAGATTACACACCCCCTCCCCTCCATGTTCCCATGGTTTCTAACAGGCATTCTGGGCCGCCCTGAATGGACTACACCACATGTTAAAAGCAGAGAAGTCACATGGGACTGCATTGAACACCATCTGCAAAAAGAAGCGACTAATTTGCTGCAAGACAACCTATGATCCTGTTTTTTTACTGCCTCGTTTTCAGCTCTTCTGCCAATAGCTTGACAATGGCTGTTAGGAAAACTAACAAAACGGGACATTCCACTGGAAGACTCGAGTTGCGTTTTCTGAGTTTATGCAAGAGTTTTGTGTCAAAGAAAGTGCTTGGTTCTATGCTATGCCCTGGTCAGAGCCAAACATCATTCAGCAACAATCTAAAATAACATAGGGGCTGCAGAAAAGTAGCTGCAAATGGCACAACCGCCACAGAAATTTCAAAACACATCCTGACAATTCCAGCCCACATATAGCCACACAGCCACATGACAATTTGCCTTTTCTTGTCCTATTATCTCACCCTGCTGAGAAGTAATGTCTCATCAGACATCGCCAGCATTCCCTGCTGGTGTACACTCTTGCCAAAAAAACACACACAGACACACAGTGGCAGCTGACCTCCCCAGAGAGCTCAATAAAAGTGCTTTTCATCAAGTCGGGAGCTGTCCTAAGACGGCTGAGATGGGGCACACCAGCAGATTTCAAATGAGCTGTATGTTAAATAAAGCCTAAAGCCTCTGTTGCAGCTTCCTTTTTTTCTTTCTTTTCCTTCAATTCCTTGGGGCTGGTCCACCCAGAGCTCTTTCACAAAGGAGCAATAGTGTGTCTGTGCGCGCGTATGTGTATATAGGTTTCTGACATAAGAGACATAAAGTATGAAAGACTGACTGAGCAGGTGATGATAGAGACATATCTCTTTAGACAGCAGTTTATTTTTACTGCTCTGTCACAGACTGCTTGGAAAGACAGGTGATCATCTGCAGCCGTGAAAGAGACCTTAAACTTCTAAAAAACCCGGCAGGAGTCCAATCAAAAGCAGCAGGTCACAGTACTGACACATCTGCTCTTTTTACTTCTAAAGCGAACATCTAAAAGGCAATGATCAAACATCTATCCATTTTATCTATTATTCTCTGTCCACTCAGCACCCATTCATGTGCTGAGGGATGTGAGTGTCATTTAAATGATGCAGTCTCTCCTATATTAACTCCTGACGTTTAGCGCCCCGTCACTCCAAGCCACACTCCGCCATATGGCTGAGGGACGCACTCGAGGCTGGCATTAAAGAAAAACGTCATGAAATCAACTGCAACAACAAATACGAGAGAAAAAAGAACCTTGGTGGTGTTGATGCTGGGTAATGAGTTGTGAGGTGCAGACAGGACAAAAACAATGTGTTCCTGTCTTTATGTCCTGTCATAATCAAGGCTTAGGTTCACAAAGAGTGCCACAGCATTGCAGTAACTGTGATCAGAGCAGCCTGTGCACTGCTGTGTGAACCTCTCTTTGAACCGTAAAGGTTTAGTAAAATAGTGGGTTTTTATGTAAGAAACAGTTAAAATGAACATATTTGCAGGAGGCTAAACAAGAGAAAGCCAGACATGCTGTTAAAAGTTCTCAACAGGAATATGGATTTGGCTATGACTAAGACTGAAATGGGTTTTTCTTTATTATTATAGTATATTAATGTGATATAATGGCTTTATTATACGCCTTATTAACTATAATCTAGGATTTTTATGAAATATTTATGAAGCTAAAATCAGTTATTTTCTTGCTGAGTTCTTTCCAAATCCTTTGTGTCATCTTATGCAATCTTTAAATCCTAGACATTTTTTAAACTGCCATCCTAACTGTACACACACACACACAAACATACACACACACACACACACACACACACACACACAAACCTGATAAGGATAAACAGAATAGAATGGATGGATGGATAAATTTCATCACCTTATAGTGTAGTTCCTTTGTATAGTATGAAGTAACACAGACTGCATACAAATTATTGGAAATACACATGAAATTTCATTAACTATCATGTCTTTTCCCTACCACTTGTCTGATCACGCTGCATTACAATTATTTGGCCATTATCACATGTGCATAGCAGCACCAGTTGCCTTGCCTTCTCTTTTTGTCTTTCACACTCTTGGCCCCTCTCTGTTCTCTTCCTCCTCCCTACAGTACTCCAGCTGGACCTTCTTGTATAAAAGGTTAATTACCCTCTCATCTACTTTGTTGTACAGTACCTACATACATGCCTACTTTTTGAATAGATGGCTTCTCAAACTCTACACACACCTTCCAGCAGTCAAAGCAAAGCATAGCTCAAGGGAAGATGTGTTGAGAGTAGGCTCCTTTCACATGCTATATCAAGCCTTTTAGAGGAGGTGAGGTGAGAATAATCACACTTTGACACATGTGAAGACAGGAGGGCTGTCTAAGGAAAATATCTGTCTCTCCACTCATGTCATGCACAGTTGTAATGCTAGATGAAGGATGGTATGAAGAGTGCCGGTGTGGCGAAATATGCTGGCTAGTATTAATTTAAAATTTGCTGTGTCCCAATTTAAAAAATAAACATGTTAGACAAATAAGGGGATGGGTTATTAATCAGTGAGAAATTTCTAATCCATAACACACAGCCATATGTGTTGGCTGTTACCATACCTGAAAATTCCCAGCATAGTCCTCGTCTTTGTCACCTTCTGCACCATCCTTCATGGCAATAAGGGTGAACCCTCTGAAGTAGGAGGGGCTGGCTGCAGTCACAGTCACTACATGGAAACAAAAAAATATTAGAAGACAACATCACCTGACAGGGAGCAGCTTAACTACAGTTCTTCTTCCAAATACCTGATTAAAGTGGGTTAAAATACCTGCTTGAGTAGTGTTGTATGTATAAATAATACTATATATTTTAAGCTCAAATATATAAAGGACAAGCTAAAGTTAATGTAATTTGCACATTGCCTTTCTCAGATCGTCAAATTAGCCAGATTATGTTTAGGATGGAATTTCTGCCCATTTTTACAATCAGTCACAACATTAAAGAACGTTGAGTTACTGCAGAAAACTGTAGTTGCTGTACTCGGCAACTTATTTGGTGTCTTTAGATATTAACAAATACTGATTTAAACTGAAGCTAAATCATTCAAACGTTTAAAATAATGCAGTTGTCATTTTGATTGCTAAACAAAAAGTAGTTGGAATAAAGGCAGGCAGCAATGATCCAACTGCAGCGCAACACATTGTCGGAACCAGAAGGGCAGGAGACTAGAAATCACAGAGCAGATGGCACATGCCCATTTACTGCACCCCAAAACTTTCCTTTTAGGAAAAGAGAGAGAGAGAGAGAGAGAAATCCGGGGCTGGCTTTCAAGAAACTTGTTAAGTATGGAACACAACACCAAAAGCACGCAAGAGTTCATAGAGGGATTTAGCTTTCTCAGAAAAAGCCTTCTTAAAATTTTGATCATACAAAACTATTTGAGGCACTCTATTTGCTCACAGATGTTCAAATCAGATTTAAAATGATCTCTCGTTAATCTTTTAGTAGTTAAAATACACGTCTGCTTATTGCGATTGTGCGTAATCATCTTAGCGCTCGCCCCGCATCAAAAGTAGATTGTGCAGAAACTTATCTTAAGTTTGCATAGTCTGCTGACTGTGGCTTAGAGGCAATGCACAGGCACAATGGAAAGCAGCGTACTACGCGTATATCGCTAACACCAACCTCTGTATGTGCTCCCTGGGTGATAGCTCTCCGGGTCTCCTTCTACCCGGAGCCGAAACTCGCTGTTGCCCTCTTTCCTATTGCTCTGAGCCCGTAATACCCGACTACAATACCCGTCCGCCTTCCCGCCTCTGTCAGAAGGCTCCTCGGTGAATGCAAACGTATTGCACGCCGCGGTGGAGATGAAGCAAAGCAGGAGCACAAAGCGTGGATGTAGTCCGGTTGCTGTCATTTTGCAGATTTGCGACAGCCAAGTTAATGCGCGGAGGTGAAAGAAATCTTGTCAGAAGAAGAACTGACGTTTGCTTCAGCTTCTCCTTAACGTCAAACCAAGTTGCCAACTGCTGAAGTACACTTCTGCTGCGCTAGGAGGACAGCTCCATCCCGGAGTGAACGGGAGAGAGGAGAAGTGAAGACTGACTGGGATGTGCTCTGCGCTCGCTCTACAAGAACGGCACACCGCGTGAAGCTGGTTAAAGTGAACAGGGTAGCAGGGGTCCGGGGGGAAAGCCAAGCGCAGAATGAGCGCTGTGTAGCTGTCTGCAGGGGCACAGCTATTTACAAACCGAGTGAGTGATGAACGCAAAACAAGAGAAAAAAAAAAAAAAAAAAAAAACCAAATTCTTGTCATTGAACGTTTACGCAGAGGAAACGCATTTAACATAGTTGGACTGAACTCTCGTGCGACGACTGCGTGTGTGCGTGTGGCATCACTTAACTGTCTTAAGAAAGACATGTGCACCGTGACACAGACAAAGGAAATAACAAAGCATGCTTCACGGTTGTCAAGGTGACTAATTTGGAAAGAAAGAAAGAAAAACTTTAGTCACAAATAGCTTCTCTCTAATTGCATTGCTCTCTATTTTCTTGCAACACAAAAGTTAAATGATAAAAAATTATAATGTTTGTACGTTTGCCTTTTTTAATGCTTGGGACAAAATCCCACACTGTCATTATAAGCAAAACAAGAATAGATATAGATCTTTTCAGCACTTCTTTCTATTGATCCCCCAGTAACATCTGAAAAACATTCACCAAGCAGAAGCAACCCAGCTGTAGTGCCGTAACCTGTTAGCTCCACATAGACAACGATTAATTTTTGATAGCAGGACAGAGTGACCCTACATACTTACTACATAGATACATAAATATGTAAAACCCATGGAGCTGTCTGTTGAGATGGCAGTTGGTCATTTAGTTTGGCCACCATTTGGTACAGACTACACTCATTTAGTGTTTTGCTCAAACCCACCAGGACAATATTCTTAATTAATTACACAACAGCAAAATGTTCCGACACAAAATTGTAGTGCTCTACATATCCAGTTTTCTTGCAATTCTTAGGATAAAGTACATTGGACTACAGGTTTGTATTGAATACCAGACTGATTTGTTAATTCTGATTGAAACTCAGCTGTTTCTTTTGTCTGTATTCTTTTATTTTTACTTGCTATATCCATACTCCTGCTCACTTTTTACACTTTTAGTTCAAATGAATAAGCTTAAAGTCAGTGCAGAACTGCTATCGTAATCATTTACAGGTATTCTTCTATTGATTTATTGGTTAAGCATTTAATACCTCCGAAAACAAATCCTCAACCGCAGAAGCGCTTCACTGCTTTAGTTCTGGGTTTTCTCTGCCATTTCCTGAAGTAAAACAGAAAGAAAGAAACACTGAAATGAGTGCTAGTCTGAAAAACATAGACACATAGCTTATAATTTTTTAATCCATCTTATGGTTTGTTGTATTTTGACCTCATGTGTCTCAATAACAGGCTGAGAAATAAAATATTTTCTTCTGATAGCTTACTGCCTCCGTCTCTTGTTATCTTCTTCACCTTCTTTTCTGCCCTTTTTGCTCCTGTGCCTTTTTTTCATCCAAAGCATATCTGTTTCAGGCAGTTCTCAGGCTTTGAAATAAAAACATGACAATGACACCACTGGATGATAAAAAGTGAAGACTTGATGTAATCCCTCTGTTTCTTTGCTTCTTAATCTTTCTCGGGTGGTATAGGCTATATTTTATCATTTGTGACATTTTTCTTGCAACACCCCAGAGTTTATTTTAGACTTCAGAGGGGTCAGCAGGCATGTAATGGGCATGCAACCGTTTCTGATAGGCACTGACAAATGGAGAGTGGCTATGCTCTGTGCATTTACTGCTGTGTTGATGGATGGATGATGGGGAAGGAAAGGAACAGAGTTTAGATAGCAGAACAGTAAACCAGCAGGTGTGATGAAAGCATTTTGTCTCGTTGCCCTGCTGAGCAGAATCTCTTCCTTACTTTCAGAGCCAAGGTTATTCACTGCCTTTTACAAAATATAATGTGGATGAGAACACGATTTGCACAATCATTACATCCCATCTGTTCATGCAATTCAAATCTTTGCACTTGGCACACAACTGTACAGTAGTTTGCAAAGGTCTTGAGTCGCCCCTAATTTCTTTATATTTTGCTAAAAATATTGAAAATAGGTAAACATCTGCAAACATACATAAAAATATAGTATATAAGGCAAAGACATTGTTTTTACAATTCCAGTGAGCTTGAAAAACAATATTTTGTATGACCACCTTTGTTCTTCAACATATCTTGAACTCTCTTAGGCAAGGGTTCTTTTATTATATTTAAGTAGTCTTCAGAAATAGTTTGTCGGAATTCTTGAAGGACATTCAAAGCTCTTCTTTGGATGTTGGCTGGCTTTTATTCTGTTCTCTGTCAAGATAATCCTATCCTATATGATCCTATGATGCTTCAGTAATATTTAGATGCAGGCTTTGGGGAGACCAGCCCATGACTGACAGTGTTCTATTGTGTGTTTTTCTGTTCAGATATACTTTTTCTGCAGTATGTTTGGGATCACTGTCATGCTGAAAAATAAAGCAGTTACCAATCAGATGCTTTATAGATGGCATTGCATGATATCACATGAGATACTTTACTGTGTTTATGATTCTATCAATTTTGACAAGATCCCCAAAGACCCGGTGAATCACCCCAAGCCATGACTAAGCCTCTACTGTGTTTTACAGATGGCTGTAAACACAATTTTTTGGATTCATTACTCTGTATAACCCCTTTTCACAGATATTTACTTCTTGTGTAATATCTCTGCCTTTTCTCCCTGCTTGCTTTCCTTAAGAATGGGGTATTGACAGCCACTCTTCCACTGAGACCATTTCCAATGTGGCTTCAATGGACAGTAGATGGATCAACTGAAGGGCCAGACATCGGCAGAACTTTGTGCTGAACATGGGGTAAATTCCCAGATGATTAAACATGCAGCTATTTTGCTGGTAATACCTGAATTGAGTAAAGAAAACCAACAGCCTATTTATGAAAGATAATTCATA